CCCCCCCCCCCCCCCCCCAAAAAAAAATGATGAGCGCCTGATCCCACCGCAAGGAAAATAAACATTTAAGGGGGCTTAACTTAGATCCACCATATTTCTCCAATGAGAGTTTATTGACATGGATTTTTTTTTCATCTGCCTCTCTTTTAAATCATAAACGAACAAATAGTCAGACCCTGAAACAAGATCTACTCCAGTAAAGCAGGTTAACCCGGGCGTCGCTGACAAAATCTACATTGCATTGTTATAGTAAAGCAAAAAGGTCCGTTTGAAATTGCGACCAATAAGCAGTCCTAACCAAATCCGAACTAATCATGCATCCCTAACCCACGCCGGACAAAGCATATTTATGGTAACGTGATATGAGAGCCGGAGTCAGTATAATATCATAAGCTCAGCACCTTCATCGTTGATATGGCCCAGAAAACAAAAACTCACTTGCAATCAAAAACTTGATCTGAGCAAGGAAAAGGACTATTAACCTCTGATTGCAATTTTGATACATGTGGAACCTCTAGTAGCCTACTCATTTTGGTAGAAAGTTAAAAACTGAGGGAGTGTTTATTTAACCTTTAATTAGCATTTCTAAACTCGTGCTGAAGTATAAATCAGAGCCCTTCATTTTCTTTTGCCCCAGGCTAAAGTCTCTTCCTTTGTCCAGCTGTGTCCCATCTCCTTCAGTTAATAATAGGGTTATGAGAAAATATTCATCTCCAGAAGTTTTAAATTGTCCTGCAGTTTTCAACATTTTTTAAGTGGCTAGAATTCTTTTTTTTTTAAGGATAAAGAACCGTTATGGTGTAGAAATGGAGCTAATCAGTGACAATTATGTTAAAATATTTAAAACAAAGCTCTCAGTTCTTTTCCTGTCATCTGCCTATCATATGATAATGCATGCCGCCATTATTGTGAAAGAAAGAAACAAGATTGTTTTAAAATCATTATACATGTAGTACTGTTGGTTCTAAAACAACTCCTAGGAATACATAATTTAAGTGAAGAATTTATATTGGTGCCATGTCTTCACTTTCAAGCATTGACTGAGTACGATTACACGTGATGCTTCTTACTAGTACCATGTCTGTTGGTATGTTTGCCTTCCCTCCCTTTCTCCGCTGAGAGAGAAAGAGAGAGAGAGAGAGAGAGAGAGAGAGAGAGAGAGAGAGAGAGAGA